GATATCTTGGTATCTACTAGACCGATTTGGATGATCTAACTACTATTAGATTCATCTCAATGAGTTCTACAACTTTACTTAGAGACTCGAAGATAATTAACTTAGTATAAAAAAAGTTTTTTTTAGACAATCACCAGAAAATTTCTACTTTTGTGCCTATAGTAATTTACATATAGAATCATGTTACATTTTACTATAAATATTCTTCAGTTTACTAGAGAATCATTAATTAATCTATCTTTTAGCCAAGAGTTATTGCCAGGGTTTTTTCATTTATATTTGTATTTCTTTTTTCTCTTTTTCTAATTTGATATAACTTTATCAATCAAGAATTTTAATCTATTCTTTCCTATATAGGACCCAGCTCTCAGGAGTTTTCTTAATTTCATAGCTCTGTGTTTTTCTTTTACTTCTTGAGAGCTTCTTCTATAAGTCTTCTCTGGATATATTCTTTTATAAGCTTTCTTTTCTTTGAAATATCGTAAGCCTTTTTTTGGTTTTTTTATTATTAAGTCTTGTATAGTCTGTCTAGGATCTATTTCCTCTATATTTTGGGGATAAATATCTTTTTTTTTTCTTCCTTTTACCTCTTTCTTTTTTTTTTTTTTTCCTAAGCTTTGGTTTTTTTTTCAAAAACTTCTCTTGTATTTTGGTGAAGATTTTCTGGTCTTCAAAAATTTCTACAAAAATCTTTTCTAATATTTCTAATAACATGTCTTTTTTCTTCTTTTTCTAGTTTTTGGCTCTTGATAATCTATAAGCCAAAATGTTTTGAGATAGGATCTTGTCAATGATTCTTTGGGCCTTTAAATATTGTACTTATTCTACAAGCAACTCTTTTTTTTCTTCTTTCATGTTTTTCTATTGGTTTGTGAGTCTTTAATGCTTATTTAATATAATACTTCAGTCAGCTATTTAGTTGAAGTTACAAATTTAATTTGTAGTCTTGATTTCTCTTGGATCTTGTTTAAGGTTTCTGTTTCTGTAATGTTTTCAATATTTCTTCTCTTGCTTTTAATTTCTTCTTCTTTTCTTCTTCTTTCTTCTTTTCTGACTTTTTTTTTTCCCTTTTATGGTTTGCTACGGCAAGTTTAAATTCAACAGATACTTTAAAGTATGCTATCAGAGTCCTTAGTGCTAATTCATTTTGCTGCCTTTGTCAAGTTTTTCTTTGTTCTTGAAGTCTTTTGCTCCAATTTATTTTTAACTTTGATTTAATCTTAGCAACTTGTTTTTCTTTTAGATGAGCTTGCATTTTTCTTTATTTATTGCAACGATCTTACTAGATTCTTTAAGTTGAAGTATTATAAACTCTAGGGCTATTTTGTTGTGCTGTTTTTGTTGGCTACTCCTTTGTTCTTAGAGTTTCTTGCTCCACTCTATTTCTAGTTTTATCTTTATTTTAGCATCTTGTTTTCCCTTGTCTTCTAGTAAACTTCTTATCTTGTTGGCTATTTTTAGCTCTAATATTGTGCTGTATACTTCTTCATATATAATAAAATTGAGTGAGTCTTTTTCTTTTTGTATTGCTTGGTAGAAACCAAAATAATTTCTTTCTGCAAGTTCACATTCTGTATATTCTAATTCTTCTGTATTATATTGTAATAGTTCATTATAAAGATCTATTAATTATACTATAACTTCTTCTTTTGTGATGAGTTTTTTCTCTGCAAGATTTGCTATTCTTCTATTTACTCAAGACTCTATATTCTCATCAGTTATTTGTGTTAATATATTCTAGATAATTCCTATAACTGCTTCTCTTGATATAAGCTTTTTTCCAGAACCTTCTGCTATGTTTTGCTTCATATGACTTGTTGTTTTCCTATTATTGTTGTTAGCTATTGCTATTGTTTTTGCTTGTTGTGGTTATTTACTATTTTTGTTTACTTTCATCATATAGTTTTGGTCATATCTTCTTTGTTTATTCTTTATTACATGTTGTATTTCATGTGTTATCAAAACAGATCTGCAATTCAGGATCAAGGCTGATTCTCCAAAAATTTGCAAAATATAAATAAATATCGATAATTTTTCATGACTTCTTTTATTTTTTTGCTGCTTCCATTCTTTTAACTCAAGTTTCTTAAAAGACTAAGTGTTTCTTGTGGTCTTCTTCTTCTTTACTTAAAGCTCTGAAATATATTTTCTAGTGACTTTTATGTGTTTCTTGTAGTTTTTGTTAATTTTATTTTTTCAAAAATTTGTGTTTTGATGATCAGCAGAAAGAGTATGATATAAAATACTATATACTTATCTAAATAATATTTTTATTATATATTTGAAATATATTAGTAATATATTAATCATATATTTATCATATTTTATACTTATAATATTTGTATTATATAATAATTATATAACTATTATATAATAATTATATTTGTTAAAAACTACAGGTTTCTGTAAAGATATAAATAACTCTTTTAATAAAATCTTAATTGATTATAAAATTAAGTTATCTATATTTAAAAATAAGCAAATATATAGGTTATATAACAGATTACGAATTAAATATAGTATAGCTTACACCTTTTAAAAAAATATTAAAATTAGTTATTTTATATAGTTATTTTATTATATATATATTGTAATTAGTATTTTAATTAATATTAAAAAACTAATTTAAAATTTTTTATTATAATATAAAGTAATTTATTTAAATATTTTTAAAGATTTTATTAAGAGGTAAATTATACTACATTTAATCCCAAATTACTATACAGGATAGTAGTTTATACAAAGAAACTTCTCTAAATATACTCTTTCTAAATACACTCTCTCTTTAGATACATCCTTTAACATGGTCCCAAGCTTGGGACTAAAACACTAAATGCATCCTCTATATTCTGCACATGTAGATATATTTTTATCTCTTATATATATGTTATCTCTTTAAATACACTTCACGTGATTTTATAGCATAAGTATAAAACACTAAAATTTCTGAATAATAATAATTTATTGTGGTTTATAGATTGTAGCTTACATGTATAATCATCTGATTATTGCAATTGTGCAAAATTATTTTTGATAATGTAAGCATATAGGTATAGAAAATTATAAATTATAAAAATAATTTGCTTGTATCAAATTTTGACAAAGAAAATTACTACATATACAATCGCACAATCGAACAACAATCAAGTAATTGTACATAAACTGTGATTTGCAAATATGTTATCATTTTATAGCTATAAATGAGTATAGTATATAATCTATATCGATTTTTATTTTTTTTTTGGCCTGTTCAAGTTGTAAATCACTTATTTGATCTTGATTAAAAACACAACTATATAAATGCTATAATACTTTACAAGTTGGTTTTATATTATCAGTAATTAAAGAAATTTTGCAATTATTTAAAATCATATGTAATAACAATTTTTGGAGACTCATAGAAATAAATTTGTTTACTCTTTGAAGTGCACAAAATTAAGTAGTATTACTTGTCAAATATGGCAAAAAAATTAAAATTATGTACATATATATATACAGTACATAGCTATGGCAACAAGTTTTTTTTTTGTTGTAATGCAAACTCTTACGATAACAATATGAGTATTATTTTAAATTATGAGTGTAACTCAAAATAACATCTATATATAATTTCGAAAAGTTATAGTAAATAAGCAATTTGGAGCACACTATGCTTTTTTTTAAAAAAAAATACCTAATCTATTTTAAATTAGCAGGTTACTAAGAACTTGCATTAGAATTTTATAGTGATAACAAACCTTTTTTATAAAAAAACAAAATCTAGACCAGCTTAATCTTGATTTAACTCCAAATCGTTGTTTTGAGAATACTGATAGTATTACTTTGAAACTATATATGCCATTCTCAGAAACACAAATTTTCAAATAGCATTCTATTTTTTTATAAATGATTAATAATAGATCCTGAAGGAATTAAAAATTTTTTCCTTAAAATTTTAAAATTACACAACTATCTTGTATGTGAATATAAAATTGATGGTCATTAGCTATTGATTCAACCTACAGTATTATGTTTTCTAAATAAAAAACTTCCCTTACCAATATCCAAAAGTATAAGTTCTGTGCTTATACTTATAGTAATAAAATGATTTGTACAAAATATATAGATTGGATTGAAGAGAAATAGGGAGTTAGAGTATATGAATCAACTATTATACAAATTTTACAAATCAAAGATAAATGGCTTACTGCTAAAATTGTTAATTCTGATAAAAAAAGAAATAGAGCTATTACAATTCCAGCTCTTGAGCTTGCTTTTCATGAATTTGTACTAACCTATCAGCATAAAACAATCTTAAGTGATGTGATGTTAATTGAGAAAACAAAATACTTGCTAGTGGATTAGGTGTTTCAAAAAATACTTTGCAATATTCCTCAGGCTGGCTTTACAAGTTCAAGAAGCATAATGAAATCTACAAAGAAAAACTCTATAGCGAAGCAGAATCTGCTAACAATGTATCTATCACCCAGGCTCTTCCATTATTACAAAGCAAATGTATTGATTATTCTCCTGAACAAATATACAATATAGATAAAACTGCCCTTTTTTATCAGTTAGAACTGAATTACTCGTTAGCTACACAGCATTTTTCTGAATATAAAAAAATAAAGAACATATTATTGTTGCTTTGTGTGTGAATTCTGATAGTTCATATAAGCTAAATCCTCTGATTATTAGAAAATATACATGACTACGATGTTTTAAGAATGTTAAAATTTCTAATATGTAAATGATTTATCAGAATAGTGCTAAAGCTTGGATATAACAAGTATTTTTCAACAATAGCTTCAAGACTTTTATCACAAAATGTTAAAAAGTATAAAGGTTAGCCAGTTTTATTGTTTCTTGATAATTGCTCAAGCCACAAAACCAGCAATCTAGTTCTTCAGAATATAAAAACATGTTTTTTGCCTAAAAATACAACCTCAAAGATCCAACCTATAGATGCTAGAATTATAATATCTTTTAAGAGAAATTATCATAATTACTATATTCAATAGATGCTTAATCAAGTTGAGAATAGTATAAATATACAAGATCTAACAATAGATATTTTGCAAGGTATTAAATATATTATCCAAGACTAAAATAAAGTTATAGAAAGAACTATCCAAAACTGCTAGCATCATACTAATATCCTTCCTGTTTGAGATAATAATACAAGTATTGATGATTATAATAAAGTATTGCTTGATGAGCTGTTACTTGAAGAACTTTCTGAAAATATTAAAAATCTTAATTTTTCTGACCTGATACAAGTAGAAGAGTACCTAGATATCTTTGAAGAGAATATTGTTTATGAAGTTTTTAAAAAGGATCAAATTATTTCTGATTTTGTAGAAACCTTTAGAGAGAAACCTGACGAAATAAAAAATGAAGATTCTGAAGAAGCAGATAATAGTGTTAAAAAAGAAATTGTTAACCCAAATGAAGCTTTAAAGAGCCTGGAAAATTACTACATATACAATCGCACAATCGAACAACAATCAAGTAATTGTACATAAACTGTGATTTGCAAATATGT